CCATGAAGTCATTGCTGCTGAGGGCTAAGGGAATAGATGGCTCAGAGCTATGATTCTGTGTAAGTTTAGCAACTGTACTGAAAAGAAATTTAGGATTATGCTTATTTTCCTCAATTTAAGCTGAGAAATAAGCAGTTCTAGTTTGTCGAAGCTTATTTTTATAAAGCACAAGACTATTTTTCCAGGATAGGTATGCCTCCTCATGGTGCGTAGAGCGCCATGCTCTCTCCAATTTCCTAGAGTTTTGTTTTAAGGCTCGTAAATGAGAATTAAACCAGGGAGCCAAATTACTGTCCCTAATTATCTTCTTTTTTAAAGGGGCAATATCATCTAATGTCACATGTAAAGAGGAATTAACATGATGAACTAAGGCATCAATTTGTGAGGGGTTAGAACTGAAAATATTGCCCTCTGCTACATGCCTCTGAGATGCTGAGGACAGTAACGATGGAACCGTTGATTTAAAAGATGCAACTGCATTGTCAGATAGAGACCGACTATAGGGAAATTTACTTTCATGTCTCGAGAACTCAGTTATAAAAAACTCAAAGGTTATCAGAAAGTGATCCGAGAGGACTGGATTATGTGGAAAGATCGTTATTTCCTCACACTCTATGCCATAAGTCAGCACAAGGTCTAATGTATGATGGCAGGAGTGGGTGGAGCTATGTATTCTTTGAGTAAAACCAATTGAGTCCAAGATATTACTAAAGGCTCCATTGAGGCTATCATTTTCAATGTCCACATGAATATTAAAATCCCCCACTACAATGACCTTATCAGTATTTAGCACCAAATCAAATAAAAAATCAGAGATCTGATCCAAAAACTCAGAGTAAGGGCCTGGTGGACGATATAAAACTACAAACAAGAGTGGTTTTACAGTTTTGCAATCTGGATTAGGAAAACTAAGAATAAGATGTTCGAACGAACTGTAGCTATTAATTGGTAAGGGACTGATTAATAAGTCCGAATGAAAAATGGTTGCTACTCCTCCTCCTCGCCCTGTACTTCGAGCAATATGATGATTTAAATAATTTGAAGGAGTCGACTCATTTAAGCTAACATAGTCCTCTTGCTGCAGCCAGGATTCTGTGAGAGAGAGCAAAGAGATCTGATTATCACAAATCAAGTCATTAACTAACAAAGTCTTAGAAAAAATGGATCTAATATCAACAACATTATCATCATGTCGTCTTTCTGGGTCCGGCCACAAAATTTCGTCCACATCGCATGAGATATCCTCCACTTAAAGGGACCGGGGAAAATATCTCCTTGAATGCCGTATCCAGGCCTGACATGATGCCTGGTCAATATCTCCACATGCCTCCTCCATTGCCTGTAAAAGGGCCTGTTGATGAGGATGACGGACGTACACTTTCCAGCATCAGGCAGAGAAGAACTCCTTGATGGGATTTAAGAATGGAGAGTATGGAGGGAGGTTGAGTGCTATGAAGGATGGGTGGTCTGTAAACCAGTTGCGGACCAAAGCAGCCCGATGGAAACTAACATTGTCCCATATGATGACATATCGGGTATGCTCTGGTCTCTGGACAGTGAGCATGTCATGTAAGGTGTCCAGGAATGCAATAATGTGTGCAGTGTTGTATGGGCCTATGGTTGCATGGTGGTGAACAACACCATTTTGGCTTATAGCTGCAAACGTGGTTATGTTACCACCATGTTGTCCTGGGACATTGATGATGGCACGGTGTCCAATAATGTTCCTGCCACGTCTCCTGGTTTTACTGAGGTTAAAACCGGCCTCATCTACAAAAAGTAGCTCATGTCCCATGGCATCTGCTTCTAGTTCCATCACTCTCTGGGCAAGACAAAACAAATGCAACACATCAGGCCCATGCACAGCACTACAGTATGCCCTTCCAAATTCAGAACCAATGACACTATAGCTTACCTGCACATAGTCATATCGCAGTTGCTTTACACGTTCTGTGTTTCTGTCGAAAGGAACTCTGTAAATTTGCTTCATTCTTGTTCAGTGGCGTGCAAATACACGACTTAGTGCAGAAAGGCTTGCACTGTGTATATTTAGAAATTTGGTGTCATTATCAATTATGCACACAGTCTTATTGCATTATTGGCAATCACCATGTTCACTATATGGGTCTCTTGTTCTGGAGTGAACATTCTTCCTCTGCCCCTAACATCTGGACATCTAGCAATTCTGTAAAGTAACAATTTCAGTATTTTTGCATGTATGGTACTGTTGTGTTTCTCATTAGAGTATGGCAGTGCTGCAAAGTACTTACCGATTCTCATTTCGAAATGTCCTAATGATGCTTGCCACAGTGTAGTGGCTCAAATTAGGCTGAACCTGTTGGCCAGCTTCCCTCAGGGCCATCCCATGGTTGATGACATGGTCCACTATTGTAGTTCTGATGTCATCAGTTATTCTATTTCTTACTATTCTTACCCTTCCTCTTTCCCCTCCTTGTCCTCTTCTTTCTCCTCTTTGTCCTCTTCCTCCATCTTCTTCACCTCCACGTTCTCTCCCTCGGCCTCCTCTGATTCTCACTCTTCTCTTACTGCTCCTTCTATTGTACTCCACATAGACAGCTTACCTGTAGCTTATTTATAGTGCTTAGGCTGACTGCAAAGTGAAATAATTATCTAAAACAGTTTTCACATGGGAAAGTGTACCAGACTGTTGAAAAAATATCAGGGATGCAGCAATACCACTTTTTTTTCCAACCGATATGATACCGATACTTTAATCTGAGTACTTGTCGATACCGAGAACCGATACCGACACTTCCACCACCCAAAAAAATTAATTTGAAGACCGGTTTTATTTTTTCCTCTGCATGTTACAGCAAATGAGGTTGGATTCATAAGTATAAATAAAAATGGCAGCTTTTTTCCTCCTCTCCTCCATATCTTATCCTCAAGGCCTTTGTCTCTGTGTGCTGGGTGCACGGCTGCTTCTGCATTTTTTCTGGAAATTGGAAACGGAAATCACTAAAATGGATCTCGTCAGTTGGTCACTCAACGTGATTGATAAAAAATTTTCAACAATGAGAACGGGAGAAGGGGCTCCCGGATGCCCCTCCGGGACAGACCCAGTTGGACACATCATGGACTCCTGGAAACAGTGGAACTTGATTTGTTTATCTCAGCTGTCTGTGGAGGACTCTGAAGATGTGTGGATATTCGTGGTGTTGGTGTCAGGTTTTCTGCTCACTGGCCTTGGAGGCTTCCTGGCTTACCGGAAAATTAACGAGCTGTCAAGGAATATTGGCCTGCTCCCGGAGCTCAGAGATGGTTTGCACCACGTTGTGAATTCACAGACACATAATTGTCGGAATGAATCGTAAGCTTGGAACTTTGGCCGAGATTCATTCATTGGCACAAAAGATGGATGCCTTCAAGGATAGAGTGGACAAATCAGCATGGATTGGGATAGATTAATGTCCATTATTGGGATTTTGAGAGGTTGAGGACCAAGGAACTTTAAGACAGAGAGAAAATTATCTCTGTCTGGCCCCAAAACAATTTCTAATCGGAATCTGGCGCCCTTGAGCCAGCTAGGCTCAAACGAAAACTCCCCAAAAAGAAGATATGTGGAATGTGCCGTCGCTATGGCAACTCAACTCTGTCTCCTTTCCCAGCCTGGGCGGGACTGCGGGAAGGCCCCTGAATCGTTCCAGGGTCACTGCAACCCTCCAACCCTCAATGCTCCTCCCCCTATCCACACTGAGGTGACATGCGCTGCTTATCGTGGCTGCGGGAACTGAAGTGGGGATCCCAACCCACCACCCCACTTAGTGGACACATATGTTGTGTTGTCTGAAGTCTGTTGCATATCTGTTTGAGGTGTTTTTTTGCAGAGCAAAGCTGCCCTCCCGGTGGAGGGTAGCTCTGAAGTGCCTTTTTTTCCCTCCACCTGAACCAACCCTCATGTAACCCTCTCATCTCTATTAAGGTAGCGCGACTCAGGGTTGCAAATGACCACAGTCACCAATTCTTGCCATGTGTCTTGCCCATCTCTGATCTCTGAATTGTGTGTACTGAAACTCTAATTTCCCTCTGGGATTAATAAAGTATCTTTGATTTGATTTGAAAACTACAATATTAGGTAAAAAAAAGTAAAAATTTCTGTAAAATTACTGCAGTTTTTCACATTTTACCCTAAAAAAATAAATAAATAAAATAAAACATCATTTAAATGTGCTATTTGGCACTGTCTCCAGCTTTCAGATGTACATAACATTAATGAATGTTCACATTTAAATCTAACAAAAAACACCAGTTAGCAGAAGTCAAAAGTGTGAACTAGGACTGGATGATAGAATAGTATTTTTCAGAGGTGGAAAGAGTACTAAAATTTCCTACTTAAGTAGAGTACCAGTAGTTTGATAATTTTTTACTCAAGTACACCATTAGTCAGATGTAGCTTCTGAAGCCTCTACTAGTCGGTCAGATTTGTTTTTTCTCTGGGATATGGCGACGAGAACGGATATTGGATTACCGGAGAAGTTCAACCAAACTCCGACCCCGCTAGCTGGATATCACTACCAGAGGTGCAGACATGTTTTAGACCATTTGACTTAGAAGACCTGCGACCCAATTTGGACATAGAGGAGGATTCTGTTAATCTTCAGAACCAAAATCGGTACAGTTTGTTCACTTTTCTTAAATATTTCATTTCTGTGCTCAACTGAGCTCTAAGCTGACAAGTTCTCAGCTGGTCTTAGCTCCATCATGTGTCCCAATGCAGTTCAGTAATCTGCAGTTTTACTGCTGTGTGTATTTATTGATATAACTCTGGAAAATATTTAACCAACAATTTACCATAATAAATCTTCCTGATGCTGGAGTAACTCCTTAGCTCAACTCGTTGTTTTCACTAATCCAGGATGTCATGGAGGTTCTAATGTTGAAATATAGATATCATCCTTTAGATTATATCTCTGTGTGTGTGTGTGTGTGTGTGTGTGTGTGTGTGTGTGTGTGTGTGTGTGTGTGTGTTTGTGTGTGTGTGTGTGTGTTTGTGTGTGTGTCATAGCTTTCCCAAAGGACTTGTTCTTTCCTTACCGGAGCGAACACAGTTAGCAGTTTTGCTGCAGTCATGCTAACAGGACTCGTCTGGAGTCCAGAAGTAGCGGTGCAGTTCCAGATGGTTTTAAAGATGTAGGTTATTATTTTAGATCAGACCTGTTATTTAAAAACGCGTGTAGGACACAGACACATGGCTCATACCTTTTGCTGCAGCTGTAAACTCAATTTTACGTAACAATTAGGAGCATGAAAGTAAACAAATAACAGTGATTCACATTACTAGCATCAGCAGCTAGCTTGTTTTACGTGCTGGAGTGACGTATGTGAAACACAGTTCTTCACTGTCTGGAGGAGAGGATTTGGATTTTCTGTAATGATTTATGACAAAAGTCCTTAACAAAATAAAAAACTGAGCCCAGTACATGTTTATATGGATGGTAAAGTGTAGTTATTTTGCATTTCTACAATTTTAATGCTGAGCCAATACCTTTAACCCTTCACCACTGAAATCAGTTTGTTCATTCCAGTCCTCCTAAATAATCCTCCAATCATCCAACTGGAATCCTTAAGGGTCCCGTAATATCCATCCTGTCAGAACAGGCCTTGGGAGCCCAGGTGTTACTAGAACTAATGGTTTCTCCTCACCAGCGTGAGCAGGGCTGTGCAGAGACCTTTGAAGGGGCGGGTGCTCAAATTTAAAAAGGGGCACACAGAATAATATTTTCAAACACCATGACATAACCACAGTATACCCGGCTGAATAACAATTCATATTTATTAGAAATTCAAAATGGAAGCGAATCATTATATACACCATAAGGACAATGTAAAGCAAAAGTAACTTGTTTAGGTAAATGATCTGTATTTGTATAATGCCTTCTTAGGGTTCTACAACCCCCCAAGGCACATTACAACACAATCAGTCATTCACACACATTAACACACTGATGGTGATGAGCTATGATGTAGCCATAGCTGCTCTGGAGCGCACTGACAGAGGTGAAGCTGCTGAGCACAGGCGCCACCGGTCCCTCCGACCACCACCAGCAGGCAAAGCAGGTTAAGTGTCTTGCCCAAGGACTCAACAGCATCAATCTCTGATTGAAGTCAGGATCAAACCTGGAACGTTCCGATTACTGGACAACCTGCTCCACCTCCTGATCTATTGCTGTCCTATTTTACCTGATGATGGGGCACAATGTAGCTGTTGCAGGGTTGCTCCTCTTGCTGCTGCTGATGATGCTGGAGGGCAAGGCTGTGTTGATCTCAGACTGTAGGTAGTAAAACGAACAGAGGAGAAATGTTAGTCAATTACAAAATGAATGTAAGATAATAAAAAATGGCAAAAATTGGTGAAAACTCTTAGAACTGTAAGACAGAAATATCTGAGACAACACCTGTGGTGAATAAATGGAAATCTAAACATTAGTGGATAATAGAGGAGTTTGTGTCAGAGATAAGAATGTGACAGTAATATAAACAGAAAGAGTTGTGTGTGTCTTCAATCTCCTCATGTGATCTATCACTCTCCACTTGCTGTCCATCTGAGGACAAGGCAAAATTAGCTATTGTATGAATGAATTATGTAGTTATTCACATTTAACAGGTCTTGCACCTAATCCATGATCAAGAGGCTAACAAAAAACATTTTCTGGCATCAAAACATTGCAGTTGTGTATATTATTGTTTCTACACTTGTTGCTGTGATGCAACTTACCTGTACTCTTTTTTTTTATCCAGCTGGTGAGGGACCCACTGCCTTTAGCTGCCTCACATACTCTTTCTGTCGCTGCTTCCGCCTCCTGTCCTTACGAAGCATGTCTGTACAATGATATATCATAATTAATTTACAAATATGTTTTCATGAATATAAAACTCATGCATACACATTCTGGGACATTTCATTCCTTTTCCAGAAAACTAACTGTATATAATTTGGCCACAAATTAGCTTCATGATGCTGATCCAGAATATTTCCATAATATTTTAATCATAGTGCTTTAGTAATTATAATAAAAATAAAGAATTAAACAATGTTTATGCTTTCATTCAGTTTTACTATCTACTTTGTGCAAAACAGAGAACTGTACAGATAAAATAATTTTGCTGTGAAAACAGTAGTTTTTTTTAAATGTACATCTTTAAAACATAATGTTTTTAATACAATGCATTCAAAAAGAGAGCGAATATAAACTCCAAATTTTGAGAATATGCATAGTATTAGTGAACTAAAAAACCCACCAGAAGGGCTGGGAAACCTTAAAATCTAAAACAAAACTATGTTCCCTAAAACGCTGGACAGAATTAACAGACAAGGACTGAATATTCAGTAACACAAAACTTGTGATGGATGTTACCTTCAGTATTTTTCTTATTTCCTTTCACAAAAGGTAGCTAAATTTTAAATTTGTTCAAGTTTTATTAGTCTGCGAACCAGGAAGTGATTTTGTAAACAAGAAGCAGGGCTGTGTGAGACCCTAGTCACGTGACACGCAGCAGCGATAGGAATGCAACTTTGCGGTACCTAGTTAACAACAATGACATTTTATTGGCAAATTCCCAATATTTAAGATTGAAAAAATATTTTTGTACAAGTACTTATGTACAGAATGTTTTTGGTTAATCCTAAAGTTACTGAGGTTCAGAATCGGTACCCAGCCACAGACACACACCCAGCTAGTAATATATCACACACCTAGTGCCACAAAACAACTTAATAATGTACAAAATAATCTAATAACCGTGTATAGTAGTGTGCATCCTACTTACCGGTGTTAGTCCGTTTCTCCCAATCAATATGTATGTCCTAAAAGCTTTGCACCACTCGCTCGGCCATGAAGAAAATGTGGGTGCTTGCTTGCAGCTTGTTGTGACCGGCTGTGCGCTCTGGCGTGAGGAAGAGACGGAATGGTCACGTGACGGTATGGTCACGTGACTCACGCCAGCCATATAACATTATTAAACAGAAATTTTATTAATTATTATTTTTGTTATTCTTGAGGGGGCACAAACAGAAAATTCTTAAAAAAATAAAATAAAAAAATTATATATATATATATATATATATATATATATATAAATCATTAAACCTCAAAAAGGGCACTTTGGGCACATGGAAGAAAAGGGGCAGGGTCTCAAGCACCCTCCGCCCCCCCTCTGCACGTGCCTGAGCGTGAGACTCCAAACTGTGAAGGTCGGTCTCCAAACATGAACTTTAAATTCATGCATTTATCTCCTCTTGTAACACTTTAACATGTTTTAAAAGGCTTGTGTCGTGATAAGTTACACCTCCCAGACCAAAGATAAGATAAAATATTATCATAAACACTGCAGAGACGTCATTATTTATAAATATAAGTTATTTTCCTGAGCCGTTACTTCAGCCAAGATATAGGATGCATGGATTTGATGAAACCATGCTGTCTCATGCAGTCATATATGTGTAACACACACACACACACACACTGCAGCATGTTAGAATCTTTTGAATGACTAATTTAAGTACACTGAACTGCTTTTGTAATAATTTAATCTCTTATTCTGGAGTAAAATAAAGAAACAAGCTAAATCATCACATATCTGTGGCATCAAGGAGAATCTTCTGAGTTCAAACACAGGGATGGAGCACAATGTTTACACCTGAACAGTATCAGGATGTTTTAACTCACGGAGGCCTGCAGGTCTTCTGTTTTATGAGCAGAGCGCTGAGAATCCGCTTGTTGTGAGCACTAAACGTTATTTTGCCGCTGCCATGCGGAGCGGTAGGGAAACACATTTCAAACACGTAACCGAGTCTGGTTACCGAACCGAGCAGAATTCTGATGAAGTCACACCGGTGCACAAAGGTGCGGGATCCAACCCACAGGAGAGGAGGGAGAGGAGATAAACAGCGAGTGGATCACAGGGACTGAACTGATGTTTTTGAGCAAAACTGCGGTAAAAATGGCTGTTTGATTTAAACAATTTTTCCAAAAATTTGATTTTCATAAACAGAAAACCCAATTAATCGAAATATTTGTTTATTGCCCAGCTCTACTCTGAAACTAAACTTCTAAACTTTTTTTTTTTTTCAAAAATGAGCGGCAGGTTTTTTTTTACGAAAAGAATAATCTCTGCTTTTCAGGTGTAAGTCTGTTACTGCTTTCATTCACAATGTGTGACACTGAGCTGAAAAGCCTTTCACTCTCTGCGCTTGTGCACAGTGCTGAAAGATATCTCCCCACCAGTTTAGCCAGAGTTGGGAAATGCACTTTGTTTACCATCCAGTATTGTATTGTCTTCCCGTGGAATTGTGGCTTCTCCAAGATATGCGTCTAACTCTACATGAGAACTTACAGCTCTGGCCACTGATCGTGATACCTGCTCATCTGCAATTTCATCGAACATGCTGTCCAGACTAGTAGTGGGCTGCTCACTGTGTGGTTTTCTGGAAGGTGGTTCGTTCAGCTCATCCTCCTCCTGCTTGTCTGCTTCTCCTGGCAACTTTTGCAGCTCCAGCTTCAGCATCCCCTTGGCATTTGCAGCTGTGGTGGTGGTGGGGAAATAACTCTGTTTATACCTAAAACAGAGAATGAAACTTAGCTGACAATACAGGATTGTGTGCCATTTTACAGTCACACACTCACCTGGGATCAAGTAGTGTGGCGAGGCAATAAAGGGGATTTTCCCCCACATCAGCAAAGCACTTCTGGACAGCTGCAGCCAAGGTTCCCTTCATTCTTTTGATCCCATTGTCCTCATCTGTCTCCTTTGCTAGAAATATGTGCAGCACAGTTACTGTTGGGATGACGTCAGCGGCCATGACATCTGAAGAGCTAACTTTTCAAGTTAACTCCTCAAACAGAGCCAGAACAGATAGCACTTTCTCCAGCAGGATCCACTGGTGAGCCGTGAGTGAATCAGGAAGTCCATATTCAGACACGAATATTCCCAGAGCGCGTTTCTGCTCGATCAATGACTGTATCAAATAGAAGGTGCTGTTCCAGCGGGTCTGTACGTCTTGCTGGAGCTGCTTTGCAGGCTGGTTGATCTCTAACTGAATGTCCTCGAGACGGGAGTAGGCCAGAGCAGAATGTTTAAAATGACCTACTATTTTGCGGCGGACTGCCAGCGCTTCAGCAACACTCCTCTGTGCCAGAATCCCTTCCTAAACCACTAGCTGCAGGGTGTGAGCAGTGCAAGGTATGCTGGGCAGCTCCGCATCATGCATGGCTTTGATCATATTTCTTGCATTGTCTCGGAGCACAACGTGGACCGGCGTCTTCGGTATGTCTCAGTTCTGGAGCATGTTGTCCAAAGAATCTGCAAGGGTTTGGCTGGTGTGGAAGCCACTGAATGGCTTTGCATATAGCGTAACTTGATGACGAATAAACTCCTCATTAATCCACCGCGCTGTTAAACTGAGGAGGGATAGTGGACACACGCCGCTTGTCCAAATGTCAGTGGTGCAACTCAAGGCTGAAACATTGTTAATAGAGGTGTGCACGTGTCTTTTTACCACCTCAAAAAGTTTTGGCAGTATGACGTCAATGATGTAGGTTCGGCTGGCAATTTCATATTGCGGCTCCAATGTGCTGATGAGGCGGTGACATCCCACGTTTTCCACAATCAACAGTGGCTGGTCATCAAGAGCAATAAAATGAGTCAGATCGTCTGTTATCCTCACTGCCCGTGGATTTTCTCTTGCCAGTTTTTCTTGCTTTTTCAAAACCTGAATTACTGTTGGCTGTTGTGAATTTCCCTTAGCCCTAGCATACTCTGTGTACTCCGGCTGATGATGTTTTATTAAGTTGCTGGTATTGAATAACGCAATCTCCTTTCCTCTCCTGGACACCTTACTGGCACAAAGTTGGCACTCAGCCTTGATCCGGTCATCTTCGCAAATTTTAAAGTACGTCCACACGGCCGACATGCTGCTGTTTACACTAGCCATAGCAGTCTCTTGACTTTCTTAATCTGCGGCCCACTCCTAACTACACTTATCCTATTTAGCTAGACAGCTTCTCCTAGTTGCCAATCTAGAAAACTACAACATAAAAGACAATGAAGTCAGCCAATGCAATTGCATTGGTATCAGTTCCTGGTATCGGTTGACTTTAACGAGTACGAGTATGTGGTATCGGTACCGACCCAATACCAGTATCGGTATCGGTGCATCCCTACAAAATAGTGTTAATGATAGCCATACATGTGTCTAATTTTGCTAGGAGTGTGTTGGAAATTTGGTAATTGAGTGTAAGCAGTGAGTTGTGCTTAAATTTCTGCCAAATGAGTGTTGTGCAGTGATTTGTGCCAACAGTTTTGCAAAGTGTGTGCTACAAAATTGCAAACTAAGTGCAAATCAGTGTTTGTGCTTTAAGTTTAGCAAACTCAGTGAGTTGTTTAGTTATAAGTATTAATAGTTTTAGAAATTGTGATATAAGTATCACAATTTGGGTTTAAGCAGTCAGGAAAAACTGTAAGAAGTATGGAATAAATGTGATCACTGATTGGTAATAAAGATGACATTTGTATTTTCTAACTAATGAGATGTGATTTTCTATTTACTTGCTTTTTCTTTTTAACAGGAACAACTTTATCTTTTAAAAGTAGATCAGATTACAAAGAAAGTATTTACATAAAATCTGTCTTCAAATCATCTATGACCAAATTCCATTGTAACACAATGTGAAGTCTCACACATTGAGCCTCTAAAGGGACGTTGGTCCTTGGGCGCATTCCATTTTGAATCTAGAAAATGGTGACAGGTGTTTAGAACGTTCTCATTTCCAGTTCCAACAGAGGCGTCTCAGGAAACATACCCTTGGGGTGAGGGCTGGGGGGGTGACTTGCTTGCATTGAAAACCTAGCTTGTTAGCAGCTTTAACTCGTCTATGCCTTAGACCGATTCTGAGAGGGGGTTAGAAGGCCATTGCACTGTGTAGCAAAAAGAGAAAAGTTGCTGATGACAGAAAACAATGATTTTACAAAAACAAATGTTGTTGCTCTTCTATTTTACTCATTCAGATGAACAGACGAGTAAATAAAAACTATTTTTCCAGACAAAAAATGCTGCCATTCCAAAACTTTATATCAAAATTTACACCAATTGCGCTATTTTACAACATCTATATTTTTATCGATTTAGCATTTTACTCAAAAGAACACTAATATTTTTCTTTTACTTACTAAAAGTTATTTCATTAAGTAAGGGGTTAAATTGTTGCATTTGTCACAAACATTTTACAAGACTCTGTGGAAGAGCATTCCCCTGATCATTTTCATTTTAATTTTGAGATCCTGGTTCTGGGCTATAGGGCTTTACATGGACAAGCACCATCATACATTGGTGATCTTCTTAGTCCCTACACCCCCAGTAGATCCCTGAGGTTCAGTGACCAAAGCCTACTGGTTGTGCAGCACCAGGCTGGTGACAGATCATCTGCTGCTGTGGCCCCCAGACTGGAGCTCTTCCCTCCTGAGCCTGAGATTAGCGGACTCAGTGGTCTCCTTTAAAAAGCAGCTGAAAACTCACCTGTTCAGGCTTTGGTGTGACCTTCATCCCCCTCTCCTTGTTCTGCTCTCCCCATCTATTCCACCTTCCCCAGGATCCACAGATTTTCCTCTTTCTTATTCACTCTCTCTCTCTCTCTCTCTCTCTCTCTCTCTCTCTCTCTTGCATTTGTTAATCACAAGTGAACTTTTTGCTTATTTTAAACATATTTTTAATCATTCTCTAAAATATTTTTTTATATTTTAAATTTTTTGTTTTTGTTAAGCGCCTTGTGATTTTTATCTTGAAAAGCGCTATATAAAAGATCATTTCTTTCTTTCTTTCTTTCTTTCTTTCTTTTAGGATGATGGTTAGGTTTGGGTTTCAGTTTCGGGCTAGAAACGGGTTATAGGGGATGTCCTAAAATGTACACCATACATACAAATTTCCCCAAAGCATAATACAATTACTTCCCATGCTTGGGTGATTAATGGAAAATTCGAACCCACACAGGAATTGCATTATTCAGCATCATCAGC